GCACAGACGGACGGGTATTACAGGCATTTCGTTTAAGGACAATTCGTTTTCGTGCCGAATAGTCATTTTAACTGCTCGTTGCTATACACAATTCCTAAACTTCTAACCCGCGGGATATTCATTCGGGGTAGTTCGGGTTATTCGGGATATACAGGAAAGTCGCGTGACCAAATATCATCTAACGAAACCGTGGCACAACGAGTTGTCCCAAAACGAATACGAAACAATTATGGTTAATATACCACGGCTGCTGTAACGGTAAAAGCGTAGTATCTACTATTTTTACTCCTACATTCTACATTATGAAACTGAGCAGCAATTTATACAGGAAAAGGAAAGGAAGAATGCCAGCGCCTGCTGTCCACTGTTCCAATCGCTACCCAGCATGCTGCTAACGGAAGTCTTCCAGTCGCTGGACAGCGTCCACCGCACCCGTTGCCGGCGCACCTGCGTCCTTTGGAACGCTATCCTCACCACCGGCGCTTTCTTCCGCGATGTGCGGGTCTCTGGCCGCAACGAGGACTGTCCGTCGCTTCGCAGGGAGCCCTTGTTCTGGATACTGGCCAGTCTTCTCCACTGCGTTAACCAAAGCACCAAGACGATGGTTCTTATACACATGGACATGAGCGAATGCGACGATGCGGCCACCATGCTCCGCTACGTCATTGGGCGGCGTAGCCGCGTCAGAACCCTGGTATTTTATCGGTGTTGGCTGCCGGACTGGTATGGCTGGGATATGACGCAAACCCTGAACTCTCTGCGGCGGATGTGCAGCACCGCCGAACGCGTATGTTGGGCACAGTGTCGTTTTGAGTTGCACCTACTGAGGGCCGTTGTATCGAAGGATTCGATCACCTGTCAGGCGGCCGAGCAGCTGGAAATGCAGGTGCTGGAGTTCCTTGAGAGGAATCGTGTTGTGCCGAGAGGGGTCGATCTGTCGCGTTTGTCGACGCGGATTGCCGATTCGGTCACAGGTCATCACATTCATCTGGAGCTGGTAATAGGAGTGGTTTCCGCTATATTCGTATGGATAACGGGCTGGATTTTGACTGTGTTATTTAATTATAATTTTTAAATTGTAATTATATTAATTCGCGCTTTTGACTACGAGTATCTACTATCTGACGTCTATCGCCACTGTCAGCGATACTTCGAATGCTGCCTTATATGGGCTCCCCTTATATAACTCTCCCTTATCTGGGCTCCCGGCTAGTTCGCAATGCCCGTCAAATTAAATTTATCGGATTTATAGCAGAACCCTTTTCTACTTCTTTCAACCATAAATTTTTAAGAAACCGTAAATTTTAGAAAGATTTTGAATCTCTCGTTGATGCTACCTGAGCACTTTGAAACAAACTAAATGCTACAAAGTACTGGCAAAATAAGTATTTTGAATAAATCAAAATTTTCAGTCAGGCTGACTAAGGCATAACACTGATAACGGTTGCGAAAGTGTGAGTAATAACGTAACCGCCCATGTAGAGGGTTGCTCATATTGCTCGGGAGCCCAGATAAGGGAAAGTAATATAAGGGGAGCCCATATAAGGCAGCATTCGAGGTATACCTGTAGTCTGCAGACCTTCCGATTCCGTTTTTATTTCTTGATGTTCAGCCAGGTTTAGAATCCCATGCTATACTGTCAACCTAGCCGGATATGGGCTACCTGCTCTGATCGCGATTAAATTAAATTAAATAGATGATCATACACTGAAATCCCCGATGTGGCGTACAAAAGTTTGTAATTTCCGCTGTCCATATACCTTGCGGCTAAGTTTTAGCATCTGTGCAGGTTTTACTTCTTACACAGTCGAAAATTCGCTGACAATCAAGGACGAAAAATATCAGTCTGCCAAAATCAGATTGCAAAATATCTCATTAAAAATGTGGATAAGGCGTACGATTGCACTGCAAGGCATGGACCGAAAAATGCGCACTCATATCCCATCGGCCTCCTGTTCACCGCGAACGAACTTGGGTTGGCGGTTCTGTTCAGGAGCATAAGATGGAGTTTTCAGGCAGTCCATCGGTCCAGCAGTATTCACAACGGTGGGGCTATCGCTCTATCAATGCCCTGAATGTGTCCCAGCCAGATTTTCAGGCTGGCATACATTCAGGACACCGATGGTCGATGGTCAATGGTGCTTTTAGCGGGGCTTCCTGCGGGAAAAGGGACATGATAAGCCATGGTTTGCCGTAGCCGTCGAGACTTTTGTGGATGCAAAAGCAAATTCTGCAAGCAGAGGATAGAAATGCCCGTCTGTCATCGTATTTGTAGGGCATGATGCATCTTCGCAGCAGTAACTTTCGGTCCATGGGGAAAACAACTGCCCACTGAGTGAAATAAGTTTGGCAAACCAGTTGCACACGATCGAACCCTTCTCCGCTCCCATTAATTTGTCCGTCAACGGCTGTTGGTCGCTTGTTGCTTACCATCCCCGCTCACCGAGAACGAAACCCAGTTGTCGCTTTTTCACGTGCGCATATAATGGAGTTTTCCGGCGGTACATCAGCTCAGCTGCATTTTCGACGGTGTCGGGGGTGGATTTAGCGGGCTCGACATCAACATCCTGAATATATCCCAGGCTGGCAGCCTGGGTTACATACGGGATCTAGATGTCGATGGTTGAGGCTGACGTGGTTGCCTGGCTGTTGTCTGCTGGTCGTATAGGCTTCAACTCGCTTGATAACTTCTCACTCTCAGAAAATTTTGCCGTGAGCCAACAGATGAAGAATTTGCACATGGGCCATTCACAGTGGCCAGTGCCGGCAGGCTGTCAGTTAGATTTAGACGCTGCTCTGACTGAAAGGCGAGTCATGGCTGCAGTCTGCAGACCACTCGCTAGAAATGGAAGGAAACAGAGAGATCAGTCGCAGCGAAGGAATGCCGCCTTCTCTAAGGGCAAAGGCTTGCTCTAACTCAGCCTCTCTCACTATGTCTCGTTCTGTTGACCGTCTTTCGTAGCCCGAGCCGGAACAACGATAATCCGTTGCTTAAATACTCTTGCCGCATGCGAGTTGCAGCCTGCTGCAGTATCATAGTCTCCATCGTAACGTTACTCCGCTAAAAGGGTACCGTAGTAGTCAAATTGTACAGTAAATAATTTCAGCAAATTAAAAAAAAACTTAGTTTTTTTCTGTTGTGAGACCGGGATCACTAGCGTTCACGTCAGTGGCGCTAGGCGCTACGCCTTTGGATTATGGCCTGTGTTGTGTCTCGCTTCTGATTGGCTTGTGTTTTGTTAGTGGGCGCGGCATAGCACGTGCTGCACAGCGTTGCACGCTGTTGAATGGGCTCCACGCTTTACGATCGAGCTGCGCCGATCATTATTGATTTTCGATTGTCGGAATTTTCAATATTATTAAAAGTTAGCTATTAGCGGTGCGACGTTTCGCGATTCCGCGTAGTTCGCTATACTTATCGCATAGCTCACTCCACGGGATCTATTCCGTTTAGGTCTCCGTATCTGGATCACAGTTGGATCTAGCATTAGATGGTAGCAGAGCCGACAGCGGTTCTCTGATTTGATTTGTGTCAGGCAAAGTTGGCCTGTTATTGACGTGGAACCCGACCAGTAAGGCACAGGTCTGTACTCACAGCAAAGCGCACACCACAAGCGGTGAACTGCCTCATCTGACGTGGATTTTCCAGCTTCGGTTTTCGGTACGGGATCTTCAGCGAAGAACCGTACTGTTTCCTTAGCTGTGCAAGAGTCAAAGAGTTCAGTCGGCGGTGTTCCTCGGTGCGGAGTCTTCAGCGAAGACCTGCACTGGTGTCACCGTTACTCGGCAAGGCTTCAGCGAAGCCTAAGCCGTGGGCCACAAGCGGCGAAGCGCCAAAAGGGGCGCACGGGAAAAGACCGATCAGACTCCTCCAAACTGGAGTAGAGCGCCACCACTGTTGCTACGGCAGTCAGCCGGCACAGTAACTTATCAAAAGCGTGCGGCACCACCGTTACGGTAAAACCGGCGGCAGCGCGGGAACGGATAGTGGAAGAAGAATCTGGATCATTTGGATCATTTCCCCGTGGAACGCGGAACGGACGGACGGTTAACAGGTAGAAAACCGTTAATAATTACGAGATTGGCTAGTTGGTAAAATTGGCAATTTTTATTGGTCCGTACTGAGCTGAGTGTAAAAGTAGGCGGAGTTTTGCACACGGTGTGCACGTCTGGCCGTTGACCGTGACGTCAGGCTAATATAAAAATTTAAATGGACTAACGTGATTGGTCAGTTATTTGAGCTGTGATTGGTCGAAATTTGAATTGAATATTTTGAGCTAGCGGACCAATCAGAAAGAAGTAAACAACCCGAATGGGGATTTTCCGTTGAACTTGAGCGATAATGGGAAATTTGATTTGAGATGAGATAAGTGAGACGGAAAGTGACCTTTTAAGTTCTGACAAAGGAAAAATGACCTTTGATCAAAACCGAGCTAGAAAGTGACCTTTGATCGAATTGAGCTTAAAAAGTGACCTTTAACTTGAATTGAGCGGGAAAGTGACCTTTTAACAGAAATTGAGTTAGAAAGTGACCTTTTGAGTTGAATTGAGTCGGAAAGCTTTTGAGACCAGAAGTTGACCTTTAACTTAGAAAAGTGACCTTTACCAAAAAGTTGGAATCGACCGGATTGACCTAGTTAAGTGACCTTTATGATCCGAAAGTGACATACGGTGACCTTTACCGAAGTGAAATTGAACTGAATAGTAATACAGCGACATCAGCAGCTGTAGGATTTCATTCGTTAATGTGTTCTAACCGTAGAAACGGTTTCGGAAAGTTTTGTCTAAAGAGTGACCGTTAGGGCAAACCTCTCGAACTTTTTAACGAAAAAGTGACCTTTAAACGGGACTTAATCGAAATTTTCCAACTGGAAAGTGACCTTTACTAAGGACTTAGAAAATTTCACAGAACGAAAGTGACCTTTAGGACAATTGAATAAACCATACAATAACGTGTTTGTGAGAACAATTGGCAGGAGCGTCCAAGTTATCCGATCAACATGGATAAAGACAAAGAGGAACCGACATCTACCAGCAGTCAGGGAAGCAGGAGCTCCCGAGGATCACAACAAAGCGCAGTTGATCCATATAAGAAGGAATACAAGTCGCTCGCGCGTCCAGTCGGACATGATAGACAGACCCGAGCGGCTGTGACCTTTGCAAGAAAAGACAGCAAAGGCAGTGATAGCACATACCAAGTGGCGCTTGGAGCTACACAGAATGAGGAGAGCTCCAGCGGTGACGGAAAGGATACTCCCGCATCTGCGGCGGGAAGTCATCCGATGAACCAGACAAAGGTCACCGGGGAGGATAAACCCACAGAAAGGGGAGCGGAACCAGTTGGAGCATCACAGCTTGATGCCACCATTAGTGGAACGAATGAGCAGGATAAAAATGTGAACCTGGCTCAAGTGGATGAGAGAAACACAAAGGTCACCGAAGAGGAACTGACTGAACTGGGATTGGATGACCTTTCACTGAATGATAAGACCGCAGGCGATGACCTTTGGTCAACTCCAATGGTCTCAGATGAATCGAATGAGTCTTACTTCACGGATGACGAAGCGACGATGAATATGTCCTTCCAAACCGCGATGAAGGAGGCTGACCGTGCTGAAGGGATAACACCTTTCAAAGATATACCGGAGCACCTAATCGAACGGACACAAACAGGAAAGGTCATCAACGTACGACCACCGTCACCTAACAGTCCCACGTCAACTCTGAAGAGACGCGTGAAGGAGTTGGAAGAGGAACTCGAAGCCAAGGAAGGCCTGGTGACGAAAAGGAAACAGGAATATCAAAATCGGATAGGAACTCTGGATGCTCGTATCTATGAACTGGAGCAACAACAGGCCGACTTGGAAAGCGCAGCGGATGAATGGAAGATTAAATACGAGCGTCAAAAAGAACTCGCTGAAGAGTACCTCAAAATGGTAGATGACAGAGAAATGGAAGGTCATCTTGCGGTTAGCGAGTTGAACGAGAGTATGTCAGAAGAATCAGCTGAAAGGTCACGACACTTAGCCGAATTGAAGGACGAGTGTGACCAGTTGCGTCAAAAGGTCACTGAAGCTGAAACTAAACGGGACGAATACGCGACCAAATTCGCAGAGGTCACACAACGGTTAACGACATTGGCAACGGAGACGTTCAAACTAAGGAATGACCTGAAGCTACGGGAGGAGGCTGTCAGTACTCTGCAACTAGAATCGAAAGGTCATCAGGAACGGGCGGACGAAGCTGAGAAGTTGCGCAATGATGCAATCAAAGCGATGCGAGAGGCTAGAGACATCACAGCTACTGAAGGAGAACGCCTGAAAGAAGAAATCAAAAAGGTCAACCAGGAGAATGAAAAGGTCACAGAAGACATTGAAAAGGTCACTAAGGAAGGACTCAAATGGCAGAAGGAAGCACGGCGACTGGACACAATGGTCACAACATTGGAGCTGAAGGACAAAGAGTGGCAACAACAGGTCGCTCAAAAGAGTCAGGAGATTGCAAAGCTGAACACTGACCTCGTCGAGATGACCACCACAGCATTGGCAAAAGATGATGAGTTGATCGCAATCAAGGATCAGCTGAGATCAGCCGCTGGGCAGTATCAGCAACTCGAAAATGAAACGAGTGAGCTGGTCGAGCACATCAAAAAGATGGAACGGGAAAATGAAAAGGTCACCCAGCAGGAGTCTTTTAAACTGCAGGAACACTTACGAAGGGTCAACCTGGAAAATTCTGATCTAAAGAGAGAAAGAGAAGAACTTCAACTGAGGACTAAACGATTGGAAGATGAGAACAAGGCGCTCCAGACGTCAAATAAGCACAAAGATGAACAACTCCTACAATATGGAGTTAAAACGGCAACAGTGGAGTCCCCTCCGCCCAGTTACAGCAAGGCGCATGAAACGGGCACGGGTAAAAGCTTCCACTTCGATATGCCGCTACGAACTGGTACTGGCAGAGGAAGTGTCAAAACGAAAAGGACGAGGAAAAGGCCAAAGATGACAAAGAGCCACCATCGGAAAGTTACCCGCATATAAGTCGAGGTGACCCTTCACAATTTCCCCCGCACATGGAAACAAATGTGTTCATTGATGAAGGACGACGGGACAGACCCCCCAGCCGGCAGGAGCGCCCAAGGAAATCCCGTTATGGGAAAGCGAGACGAAACCAAAACGATGATGAAAGCAGCGAAGAAGACGATGACCAGAGAGCAGAAAACACAGCGGTGCAATTGACAAAAGCGCTCAACTCGATGGCTAGGAAAACACCACTATGACCTTTGACGGCAGTCGCGACACGGTGAGCGGCTGGACACGACTAGTAAAAGAAACCCAAAGAACCTACCAGCTAACGGACGACCAAATTATGATTGAGATTGCTAGTGCGGTCAAAGGTCCTGCCAAAATTTGGTTCGAAGGAGAAAAGGACATCGCAGCAGAAGATAGAATCGAATATTCAATAACTGAATGGATGGAGAAATTCAAAGATGAATATGGCGATAGAGACGAAGAAGTCTTAGGCTTACGTGAGGCCTACGCAAGGAAATTCGAACTGGGAAAGGAATCGCTTGACCAGTACTACCAGGCGATGATGCGATTCAAAGCAAAACGGATCATCACCGAGAAGCAAGCAGTTGGCTTCCTAATTGAAGGATGTAGAGTGGACAATGAACTCTACAAGGCACTGCGTATACAGAAGTGCAAGACGCCAACGGATGTGAAGGACTTCTTCCGACATTGGGCAACGGGCGAAGAAAAATACAAGGCACCAAAAGGTCAACGTAATCAGGAATACGTGACCATCCGCCAAGGCCAAGTTGAAAACGTGCCGCAACAGAGAATGGCAGCTGCGCCAGTCCAGCAGCCGGTTGAGTACCGCGTGGAGACTCCGGTCAGAGAGGTCACCGAAAAGGTGACCTTTATCGACAGTCAGACGGGACAACCGATAACATATGCAATGGTGGCGGCGATACAGGCAGCAGCTCAAGTGAGACCAGTAGCCCAGAATGTGACTCCCCAGAATGTAGCCCCACCCGCACCACAGAATATGGTCCCTATGAATGTCGTGTTACCACAACAAGGAGGGGGTAACGGAAACTTTGGCGGAAATGGATACGGAAATGGAAATTGGAATGGAGGTCAGGGGAACTTCCAGAATCAGGGACAAGGTCAAGGTCAAGGGAACTTCAGAGGGAATCAACAGCAAAACCAAGGGTCACGAACTGAGTTTAAGTTCCAGATGATTGACGGATGGGTGGCGAACAATGTGCAGATGTGCCAGTACTGTATGTATGGCAACCACCAGACCCAGGGATGCAAATTCGCCAACACACCACCGGAACAGAACCCAAACCTGTTTGCCTTCAACGAGTGGCAACGACTGCGCGGGCTCGGTGGTTGGCGCCAAGCGGTCGCAAATGGATATGACCTGATCACGCAATGGTACCAGGCGAAAGCAAACTTTCAGAATCAGCAAGGTAATGGGAACTATGGAAATGGAAATGGGGGCGGCCAAGGCGGCGGCTATCGCGGCGGTGGCTTCGGCCGCGGCGGCTTCAGAGGAAGGAACAGAGGCTATGGCCGCGGAAATTACAGAGGCGGTGGAAATGGAGGCGGAAACTACCAACAGGGTAGTGGCCAGCCAAACGGAGGCGGCCCGGTGAATGAACAACAGCAGGGAAATGTGCAAGGCGCGCAACAAGTCGGGGCGCCGGTTCAGGGAAACGGGCAAGATCAGTAGGCACCGGTGAGCCTATTGATCGACCCGACCCTAAACCACCGGATAAAAGGGAAAGGTCAACACTGCAGAATGGTACTGCAGTGAATGTGACCACTGCGACGGCTATATGGATGCCGTCAGCGAAAAAGCAAAGTGGACCGGCTATATGGATGCCGCAACCACAAGAAACGGCTAGATGGATGCCGCCACAGCAAAGAGAAACGGCTATATGGATGCCGTCATCGCAAAAAGGAAATGGAACGGTTATAGGGATACCGTCACAAAGCGAAAGGTCACCGCAGAATGGCACTGTGAGTGGAAACATCCAAGTGGATAAAAGGTCACCGCAGAATGGTACTGCGAGTGGAAACGCGCAACGGGACCAAAGGTCACCGCAGAATGGTACTGCGAGTGGAAATTGTCGTGACGGTAGCGCGACACTGCAAAAAGTGCAGCAAAATCAAAGGTCACCGTACTGCAGCGAAGAAGTGTTAGCGCAACGACGCGCACAACGAAATGCAAAGATTCAACAGGCGCTCCTGAATCAGAAGAAACCGCAGAACGACACTGCGCAAGAGGAAAATAGACAGCACGCAAAATTCCGAAAAATTTTGGCAGAAAACGACAAGGCAAATGAGCCAAGGTGCGATTGTTACGGGGAACCAAAGCCAAAGTTTTGGAATTGTTCAGAAGACGAAGAAGAGAAGCGAATAAGGCAAGAATGGATTAAGCAGAATATCACCGTCATTAGTAAAGATGAAAGGTCACCTTCTACTGGAAAAGTCCAAGTTAAAGGTCAAGGAGCGAGTGCGAATGCAAAAGGTCACGGCGACAGCGTCGTGTTAAAAGGTCAAGAAACAGACTTGACACTGCGAACAGCGCAGCAAAAGAATAAGGAAATGGCACAGAACTCCGACGACTCACTTGTGGACGCAGTAACATTACAACAGAAGGAGAAGTGGCAAAAAGTGGCCTACAGACCGAATGGCAATCACGGGATGTGGATACCTGTGACGCCGAAAGCAAAGCAGAAAGCGAGAATGTCACAAGAGGACTACTGGGACATGCAACAGTTGCGAACGCAATGTGAAAGAAAGCGACTGGAAGAGTTGGTTACCGGGAAACCAGCGCAAAGGTCATCGAACCCAGTCCCAGTATTCAATCCAGAGGAATATAAGAAGACATTCGCTGACTGGAATCATTCACGTAATGCTCCACCACAGGATAAACCGCCGAACTATGGAGAAAAAGTCCCCATACAAAAGCTGACAGGTGGCGGATTTGTCATGAAGCGCAACGAAAGGTCACAGGACTTAGCGCAAAATGAACAAAAAGGACGGTCAAATGAGATAGCGCAAACGCAACAGAGTAGCGCAGTTGAAAGGTCACGGGACTTATCACAAGCACTGCAAAAAGATGCCAATGACAAGTCACCAGCCCGAACAGACGGGATGTCTTCGCAAATTGACCCAACGAAAACGAACAATGAAGTATCTGCAAAAGTGATGCAATGGATGACCGAAAAGGGATATGATATGGTTACATATGAAAGGTCACCAGATGAGATGAAAGACAGTGAAGCAGATGAACTGAAACAAGCTGACCAAATAACAAGCAAAGTTATTGAGAAGATGCAAGATAAGCGAAATGAAAACCGTAAAGAGGAACTAATCCATCAGACGATAAATGAAGTGACTAAAGGTCACGTGCACAGCACAAAAGCAAATGAGCAAGTGCGGAATGTGCAAAAGGCCACCAGTGGTAAAATGGCTCCAGAGAAGCAATCGGAAAAGACAAAGCCGCGAAAATATTACGATGTTCGAACTGACGTCCCACACAGGATTGATAAGTTGAGCGAGATATTGAAAGGTCATAGCACTCCAGCAAAAGGACAAGTGCTTCCCGATATGGATCCGGGACCAGTATCGCTCATTCCTGTGAAATGTAAGATTCATACTTTGAAGATTCAAAATGGAAAACTGCCCAAGAGAATTGAAGCGTACACACACGAAGTGAAAGTGGGAGACATAAAGGTCAACGCAATGTTGGACACCGGCGCTGAGACGTCGCTGATCAGCAAACCGTTTTGCGAGAAGAATGGACTCCACATGCTCCCATTGCCACCTGACAGATTGGTGAAAATAAATGGAATTAGCGGAACGTCAGGATTCCTGGTGACGCACTACTGTGTAGCGCCAGTGTCCTTAAGGAAAAGACTAGCGAACATTCATTCTACGTCCGACCGAAGTGTGACGACGTACAAGTGTTATTGGGATTTGACTTCTTGGAAAGAAATTCGTACTAATGGATAACGAAGGTGAAGAAGAGAAAGAAGACGACCCAAAACCAGTCGCCAAAGTTCAAGTCGGAAAGGTCACCGAACTTGTAAAACAGACGGGAAATGCTCAAATGGTTAATAAAACGCTAATCCCAGTACCAGAGGCACCGGGAAACGAAAAGAAAAAGATGACGCGAAAAGAATTGTCACCATTTGAGCAGTTGCAAATGATTCAGCAGGAGATCGAAAAGACATTAAATCGGACCTTGCTGGCACAGAAGGGAAGAGAAAAAGTCATCCCAGTACCAGAGGCACCGGGAATGACAAAAGTGCAGCAGGAAGAAATTATCCCAGTACCAGAGGCACTGGAAACGAAAAATGAAAATGGAAAAGTCGGAAAAGTTATCCCAGTACCAGAGGCACTGGGAAAGGAAGACGAAAGGTCACCAGCAACTGAGAACTTGGAACGAGAGCGTAATTCGAACCTTTTCGAACCACGATCTGCTACCCAAAATGAAAGGCTACCAGATAAAGCCAAAGAGGAAGTAACAGAACGTGACTCTCAAAGGTCACCAACGATTGAAAGGTCACCAACGATTGAAGAGATAATTGCCACACAGAAAGAAGCGGCAGTTGCAGCGAAACAATCTCTTGTGCCAGACATGGAGTGGGCAAAGCCTATCCCAGTACCAGAGGCACTGGAAATAAAGACGGCTAAAGTGGGGAAGGATAAAAAGAGTGAAAGGTTACGAGTTTTGAAACGAATAGTTGAAGAGGAACAGATGTTTACAAGCGAAATCCGCGACAAGGCACTCGAACAATTGAAAGGTCACCGAACAGAAAAAGAACCAGAGGTCATTGAAATATCCTCTGAGGATAAAAGCGTGACTCC